TCTATCTATCTATCTATCTATCTATCTATCTATCTATCTATCTATCTATCTATCTATCTATCTATCTATCTATCTATCTATCTATCTATCTATCTATCTATCTATCTATCTATCTATCTATCTATCTATCTATCTATCTATCTATCTTTCTATCTATCTATCACAGTTTTGTTTTATGCAGTTGTTTTTAAACAATTTCAAGAAAGCAACTTAAATCACACTGATATTAGGTATTCTTGTCTTTAAAGTATTCTTTTTTCCACACATTTTCATCAAATTGATTAATTTTTTTAGGTTGCAGAAAAGCTAAATATGTTTAAGTGTTTTAACGCAGCTGCTGTATGAGTTTTTGGGCGCCATCTAAGAAGACATACTGAGTGACTGGTGACAACAATGAATTTTAATGTCTGACTGTCTGTTTTTGCTCCAGTCCCAGATTTGGATGTTGAGCTTCAAGCTGCACCACTGCCCTCTGCTGATCATCCTCAACTCCAATACTAGTATTTCTCGAGTGCATCTGCTAAAGATGCAGTGCATGATGGTGAATGTGTAAACTATGATACGCATCATTTTGCCAAACCATATAAAAAAAACCCCAGAAAAGGACATTTTAAAATAAGTGCAAGAAATAAGTGACAAGTCTTACTTCTGGACCCGGCTTTCCTTTGTCTCCCTTTGCTCCTTTTATTTGAAAATTATTCGCAGGATCACCCTGAAGACAGATTAACACAAAAAATAGAGTATGAGAAGAGCTATCCTTTAAAAACATTTAAACACGCCCAAAGTTTGACGTTTCATAAAGAAACTTACTGGGTTGCCTTGGCAACCTTTGTCTCCCACATTTCCTCTGTCTCCCTTCACACCCTGAATAAGACACACAAATCAGAAATACTAAATAATTGCAGCAACTGTACTTACTTGATAGTGTTCAAGGATATGTTTGAAATAAAGTAATTACACTATTTTAAACTTATTTTGGTTTTGTTACTGTCTGGGTCATCTCTCTAATTTGCTTCTTGATTTTTTTTTTCATTAAACCTTTTCTCATGAGTTTTTACAGTTAATATTTTGACAGGTTTTAAGCATTTACTTTCTCATTTCATTCATTGGTTAGACCTGTTTAGGAAGTTAGTTTTTGATACATTAGACAAAACATTTACCTCTCCTCACATGTTCTACTGAACCTAAACATTTCCCCATACATTATAACTACATGATGTAATTTGGGAGGCTATAAATATTTTGTCCAACTTTTCAGTTGACTACTAATATCTCAGCTAATAAGAATTCTTATATCATCTGCAGTAATTGAAATAATGAAACTAGCATCCCCTAAAGTAAGGACTATTGTTCACAGCTTTGCTTGTTAAAGTTTTACATAAAAACCTGCACATCCAATTTGTGCTCACAGTATAAGATGGAGATGAGTACTGCCACACCAAATTTAAGCTCAGTATAACGTTTTATAACTTATTTTTTGTGTGTGTCCTTTAATGTCACTGTTACCATTTACAAATGTGTGATGACTCTGGGGTAGCATAGTATTTTGATGTGCGAAACTCTAAACAGGCCAAGAAACTTGTTTTCCTCCATTTCACTTGAAATATCCTAAATGCATATTTGTAAATCCAACCATATACCGTGCATTTAACTTAGCACGAAGAAAACATCACTCTAAAGATGTATGTTTTTGATTTTCCTTATGGTTTTTTTTTTTGTTTCTTTTACCACACCTTTAACACCAGGCTCTCAGTGAAGAAGTCTTTAATCCTCCCTGGAGGTCCAGGTGGACCTCTTGGGCCTTGCCTTCCCTGCATGAAATGAATAAAGTAATTCTCAATGACAAACAAGACATAATACAAACATAAAATAAAACATAATAAAACATGGCTTAGGGTAATGGAGAAACAACCTTTTGACCTTGAGGTCCTGGGACACCGGCTGTGCCTTCCTGACCCTGTAAAACACAATGAAAAATAAGGAAATGTATGATTAATATCTCACAATCTATGTTCCCATATTTATAATTTTTTGTGTACATGCTGTGAGAAGATAATGCATGCGAATGTCACTACATTACTGATAAGTGAGTGCTGCAGTACAAGAAACAAAGAAACAACCAAAAAAAAAAAAAAAAAAAAAGAAAACTAGAAAATATCTCAACTTTCCCATGTGGTGTGAAGACAAATTATCTAAGAATTAGTCCAAACAGCTGCAGCTGTGGTTTTACTAGATAGATATAAACTTTGACATTCATTTGTGCAAAAAAACCTTGCTAATAATGTTCATGCAGATCAATTAAAATACTTATCTTACCTTAGATCCTGTAGGTCCAGCGTGACCTAGAAGTCCCTGAAATTCAATTATTAGTATAAAGTAGATGATAAAAGATTCTCTTGGCAGCCAAATGGTAAAATATACTAACATCAGATCCTCTTGATCCAGGGTTACCGGGTATTCCATATTCTCCTGGAGCACCTGGATGCCCCTGAACATCAAGCAGAGATCAAACAAACAAAAGACAAAAAAACAACAACACATGAATCATTTCATTTTTAGATAAAATTCAACAGTCTTTTTTTAATTTATGAAATATGTTTTATCCAAAAAATATTGTATAGAAAATAGTTAATCAGCACAGTGCTGTTTATGAACTTACTGGATCTCCATCTCTTCCTGGTGGTCCTGGTGACCCTGGTCTTGAATGGGGTGATTCCCAAGAGTCTCCCTGTAAAAATGGAACATGTTACATTTACAGTTTCAGCAACATTCAACATTGCTCAATAAAAAGCTCCATACATTTAACTTTTACACGTGTTTCTTATCTCAATTTTGTTTTTCTACATTTAAAATTAAAGAAGTAACACTCTTTGCTGAGACAAGACAACACAGATTTGGATTAAAAGTAATCTCAACAGGGTGGTAACATAGTGTTAAAGTTTAAATCTAAATGCATTGAGATTGAAGCTTATTTCCCAGAAGTATCATAGACTTAAAGTTTTAGGACTGCAGGTGTTTAATCCTGATTTTCCCATCAGCCACCATGATATAAAACGGAAATGAGTCCTCAGGTAATTGCTAATTGTCATTATGCAGCTAATCACCAGTGATTGAGTACGTCTGTAAGTCTAGAGGTACAAATTAAACAAAAAAAAAACCCAGTTTTCTGTTGTTATGAGTCATTTACTCCACAACACAGTCAACTATGTTTAGCATTTTCCTGTCAGGATAATAAGTCTCAAGAATGAGGACATCTTGTTGAACATAAAATATAAGAAAAAACTTGAGATAAAGTTGGGAAAAAGAAAACTTAATCTTCGTAAAAGTTATTGGTCTCATGTGGATCAAGTAAAAAATTAGCTCTGGGAGCTTCGTGGAGCAGTGATTGTAAAAGTTTGTGATTGTTTGTTATGGTGTCTCTTAGAAGATAATCACTCCTGATGAAATCTGCTGCTTCATCTTTCAAGAATATAAAAAGGCTTCAATAAAGTTCTTAGGAAAGTGCACTTTATAATTTATTACCTTAGGTCCAGTTCGACCTGGCGCACCCTGGAAAGTAAAATTAAAGTGGAAAATAAATGATTGCTAAAGGTCAGTGTGGTTAAGTTGATTAAAAAGGGATGCTTGATTTTATTGCTCACCGGCTGTCCATCAAATCCAGGGTGGCCTGGAACACCTGGAAGTCCAATGTCTCCCTGTAAGTATTGATGTTGTCACATCGTGCAGCTGCTTGCTTTATATTACCACTTTTGTACCGAAGTACAGAGAGAGCTCAGTTGGACAGTTCTGTACAAAGACTTGTAAATGCTGTGTTTTCTTACATCCGTTCCATTGCAGCCTGGATAACCTGGGGCTCCGGGTGGGCCCTGCAAGCCTGGGATACCCTGCCACCGAATATTAACAAAAGTTAAAAGGCATACACTAAGATTTAAAAAAGAACAAATGTGCAAAACACAAAGTATGATGTGCATAATAATAATAATAATAATAATAATAATAATAATAATAATAAAAAGAAAAAACCCAACAAAAATTGCATCTTACTGGAAGACCATGAGTCTCAGCAGATCCCTCTTTGCCTTCTGGTCCCTGAAACAGCAAAAGCAAATACGGATTATTTTTTATACAACCTATATGGTAAAGACTGAAAAAAAGCTAACTTTAAATTTGTTACCATGTTGCCCTTTGGTCCGAAGGGTCCATCAGGTCCAGTGTTGCCCTTTCAAAACAAGCAACCCATAATTAATCTTAGAGAACCAGGGAGATGTGCTGCTAAAACTGTGACAGCCTGCACAATATCCTGGGCAATTTATCATCCACCCTGCACAAAGTAAACCAGGGGATTCAGATTGTTAGTGAGGGCACAAAGCGGGTCAACTGAAAGTTTACCTTTGGTCCCATTGGCCCAGGATTACCTACAGGTCCTGGATAGCCCATTGATCCTGGAAGACCTTGATCTCCAGGAAAACCCTTTTCTCCCTGTGGATTAATGTGTGTTTGTGTTAGCATAAAAGAGCAAAGAACCTAAACAGTTTAGATAAAAACAAATATGTTAGCAATGTCTTTTATATATCTTATTAATGTCATCAATGTATAAAGTATTAGGTGTTCAATTGATTTATCTGTGTTTTTCATAGTTCACTAGTTCACCATACATCATCAAATCCAGGTAAAAACTCTATCAAGCAAAGAAGATGCCATGTGTCAGGGGTATTTAACTAGCGGGTCATGGGCCAAATCAGGCCCACAGGTGAGCTCTGTTAGGCCCACCAAACAGTTCATTTTTAAATAAAACTAGATTTTAAACCTTAAAAAAAACTTAATTACAATAACTGCTGTATCTCCGGCCCCTGAGCGCTTTGCGTTCAGTAACTGTGGCCCCCTGAGCAAAAACTGAATTGCTCTGCCATATGTCATTACTAACCAGAACTGCTGCCATGATCTCAAAGCAAAGGTTTACTAAAATGGACGTAGGCAAAGTAGAAATATGTTCTCTGATTAGACAAACAAAACTTAAAATATCTTTTTGGAAACCACAAATGCTGCAGCCTCTGTACTAAAGAGGAAAGGGACAGTCCAACCTGGTAATAGTATACAGTTCATAAGCCTGCCTTTCTGATGGTATGAGGGTGCATTAGTGCCTATGGCATGGGAAGCGTATACAAGTGAAAAAAAAAAAAAAAAAACTACATGCAGAGAGCTACCATCTAGGGTGCCCTGGAGAGTAGAGGGTGGGAGTTAGGGGCCTTGTTCAAGGGCCCAGAGTGGGGCAAATGAGGGTGGAGGCAGGTTTGGGCACGTCATCGTTCCCACCCACATTTTGATGTTGTCAGTCCATGAGTCAAACTGGTAACCTTCCGATCACAGGCTCCGCCACTCCCCACCACTAACGTATGTGTACAGTATTATAACTTATTTGTTTCAAAAGAATAACGGCAATATTACTATGAACATTTAGTAACTACTATATGTGTGTCAAAACAAATAAACTTACCCTGTTGCCTTTAACTCCTTTACAGTGGCACCTTGTTTTTCCAGTGCACACACACTAAAAAAAGAAAATCATTTTTTTCCGTTATTTATTTTTTTAATCAGCATCAAAACAAACAAACAAAAAAACAAACACTGTGACTTTTTTCTCCTGAATCTTGAAAGCATTGTTGAGTTTATACTATAAATGAGTCTAGTTACTGATTGTAATCTAACAAGGTTGAGTCATGTCCTCTGGACCTCTCAACCTCGTTCGATTAATCTACCTGGATTATTGAGCATGTATCAAAACATACTGATTGTAAAGTACTGATTTCTGATCTGAACTGACGATGTGACATTAATAACAATTTTCATTAAGAAATCATAAATATTGCCTTTTTTGATGTGGCAAATGCAGTTTTTATTGATTTGTTTTGAAGGCATCAATAAGGTTTAATACAATGTATAATTATGAATTAAGTAGACGTTCATGTTCATCGTGATATTCTTTTCAAAGTTGCAAATGTTTCTGCTTCGCACCTGATGAAGTGCCTCTTTGAGTCTAACAGACAGAAAACTAGAAGCAATCTTAATATGACATGTTAACGATGGGCTATAGGCAAAAAAAGATGAAAGTTATTCTATATGCATTGCATTTCCACTTCACAAGGGCACTACACATTGCCCTTCTTAGTTATATTAATTTCATTGTTGTTGTGAACATAAAACTAAAATTAATCATGAAAATTATTAGACATCATGAACTCATGCGATGGCTTTAACAGCAGCGAAGATGCAATAACAATAAAAGGTTGATTACTTTTGTTAGCCTTAGTCAGTGATGCTCCATAATCATAGCAGTAGTTGTTTGTTGGGGGTATTTAATCTTTTTTTAATCAATTTTTTCTCGTCTTATCTTTTTTTATATATTATTATTATTATTTTAGCTCATCTCAACTTCCCCTCTTTATTCCATTTCATTCTGCCTCTATAAACAATTTCAAACAAGTTCACCAAAAGTGCTCAGAAGCGTAGTGGACCGGCCTAAGTGCACTGAAATACAAACAGACTGCAAAAACATCCTACATTTATACAGGATGCAACTTGCTTCAGATAAGCATATGTGATCCAGTTACAAACAGACCACAGAAATACAAGCTGCAAAGGTAAAGACTTATCATTTCAGCATTACAGGCAGATAAACACGAAGACAACTGATGCTGCTTTGTCTAAACAGAAGTTTGCAATTTGTTGGAGACTTAAAAAAAAGCATGCACAGTTGCACTCAGCGTTTTGGCTTTGATGTATGTGGTTTCAAAGAAATCTGAAGTTACTGTAGATAAAAAAAAAAAAAACTATAGAGTTTAGTGCAGATGTTAAGATGTCAGTATCAAATAAATGTTAAATAAATCATTGAATAACTGATCAGTGCAACTCATCAACTATTCGTTTAAAGTTGAATTTCATCGTGTGTACACGATGTTAAAGAGAAGCATGGATAAGAAAAGCAGCTATGAAAATAAATAATTAATTCAGAATCATGAGTACTCTGGGAAGTACCGTAAAACGAGTAATAGCTTACATTTTTTGCTTCTGTCACCATCAGCATCACAGCAAACAGGATCAGAGAAACTAGGCTCACCGGCCTTCTCATGGCTCATCCACAGCAGCTGTTCATTAAAATCCCAGGAACTCCAGATGTGATAAAATCCTTTTATGTAATCCCAATCCGCCAAAGTATTCACATCACCTATTGTCCGCCACTGCATCTGAGGTGAAAGTAAACTCTGCAATAACTGAATCGTACTTTACCAACTAAATTCAACTGTCCTGATAGACTCTAGACCACTAAGAGACTCTGTTTAATTGGACCTTAATGAGGGAGGTGGTCTGGACGTACCGATAAGCTCAACCCCAAACAACATCTTTGTGCTCATCTCGCTCCCACCGCTTACAAACAGTCGTAGTTTAGGCTTCACTGACAGGGAGACAGAAGATTAGTCTGAATCTGTTCACAGGCCATGCTGTTTGGGAAAATACTTCATTGAAGTTAACTCCAACTCAGTGTTTCGGTGAGTTGTGATGATTTCTGTGCAAGGTAATTTTTGGATTCCATTTCTTCCAAAATTTAGGCTGTTTTAAATTTTTCTCTTAATAGTAAATATTATGATTGCATGAACTACTTAAAAATATCCATAAGAAACTATTTGCTGTCATGCAACATTTTGACAACTTGCTTCATTCCAGGTGTCTGAGCTGAATGTTGTGTTCAGAAAAGGGGGCAGCACCGAGCCCAGCTCTCACCTGTTCACTGACAAGATGAAAGTTGCTGTTACTTCTGTGACTTTACATCCCCTATGGTGAGCCTCACATACATATTTATGTTGTTTTTTGACCATTGTGTCTTTTTAAAAGTAAGTAAATAAATTATATTCCATACTTTTTAGGTTAGTTTACCAAAAGCCAACCAAATGTATTGCTTGTTTATTCAGATCTTCAGTAAATCTTACTTGTAAGAACTGTCTTCTACTAGAAGTTAACCCTTTTATGTCATTGCTTGACTTAAAAACAACAAATATTTTTGAATAAGCTTTACTTTGAATAAAACTATGTGTATGTGAAAGTCACCTACGTCTTTCTGGGTGACCCCGCTCACCCAGCACACACACTTTTTGCCCCTCTCCCCTCAGGCAGAAGGTTGAGGTGCATTAAGTGTAGAACCACTAGACTGAGGAACAGCTTCTACCCTGAAGCTGTTAGACTCATGAATCCCTAATCAGGGTAATCACTGTGAAAAATTTTTTTATCTGTAATTGCCATTTTGATTGTTGATGTGTGCTGCTGATTATCCATGCTGCTGATCTCATGCTGCTGATTTATTTCATGCTGCTGTGTTCATTCGTACTCATCTGCTCACACAGACTTGTGTTCGTGCTGCTGTTGTTCGGCGTATTGTTTTTGCACTTTTAAGCGTTTAGCGTATTCTTAGTTCATATCTTAAACCATATTACTGTTTTATTTTACAGTTTATACTTTTGCTGGATGTAACTGGGACCCTGTGTACACAATTTAGTTCCACCTCATGTACCACATGTGATGCAAATGACATTAAAGAACCTTGAACCTAATTGCATCCAGCTAAATGACATTTTTAGTTATTGCATGGCTGTTGTGTCATTCACAGGTGGATCCTTCTGATTATTGGTGTGCAGCAGCTCAGTGCAGTAAGAATTTCATCATTCAGTCTTTGTTATTAAACAATAAATATGCACATATAAAAAATGAATGCATTGTCAAGATGTTACATGTTATGTCATAGTTTATTGTTTAGTGTATTTTTTTAAGGGGATCAAATTTGCATATCTAATCTGCAAGTTTGTTTTTATAAACGGAAGATAACTTGAACTGCCATAAAACACACCGTGTTGTTATACCTATTTGAAGCACAAGTCTCACAAGCTTTGATTTCAAACATATTCAATGCCATGCAGACTATAGATACATGATTACAGGACTGGCACCTAATTAGATCAAACATTTTGCAGCTGGAACAACTACAGGTACTGTGCAGTGTCAATGCTGTGAATTGAAAAATTATTTTTGCTGTGACTAGGGCAGTACTTTTCTTGTGTTTACTACAGTAGAACACAATATATATGTAGTTTTCTAAAGTCAAGTCAAGTCATATTTATTTATAGAGCACAATTTAAAACAAATAGACTGTTATCAAAGTGCTTAACACTAAGGGTAACACTGAGAAATAAAAAGCAGTAAGAATATACTTTAAAAAATTAAAATAACAGCATTAAAATGAAGACATGGAACAAAATATACTAAATCAACTCACACAGTATGAAACGCCAGAGAGAACAGATAAGTTTTTAGCAGGGATTTGAACACAGGAAGGGAGGTGGCATGCCTAATGTTGGGGGGTAGGTTGTTCCACAGTTTATATATTGAACTTAATCAAACAATGTAGATGGTTTATTGCATAAGCCATCTGACCCAAAAGCAATGAATCCATTTTAATAGCACTTCTGTTGCTTACACCCACCGCTGTAAAGGCCAGGATGGGTTTAAATATGCAACAATCCATCAGTAAAACACACACGTTGGTCTGCCATGCATTGAATTTGTTAGAATGGATGTACGTGAGTTTTTATTTTTCCTCCTTGCTCCAGTTTGTGTGCATGTGTTGTCTTAATTTGAACACCAGCAGATGGCCTGTTTAGTCCCAAACAACCCCACCCCTGTGGCATTTCTCAATGCACTTGATGCACCTGGAACCTGTTTAGAATTTTTTATGTACTTGTATTTGTATCTAGAATTTAAATATTTCTTCACAGTGTACAGAACCACTTGATGTTCTGTATACAGCACATTTGAACTACTAACTGGAAGATATGTGTGTGAATAAGAAGCAGAAGCTGAGTGTCCTCAAGACTTAATGTTCAGTTTTGCTTAATGTAGGATTGTGGTAGTACTAGAGAAACCCTAAACTATAAACAAATGTAAATTTAATGAGATGGTAACGACAGAGATCGATTATTGTGTTTCGAACTGTATATCTTGAGGCAGCATGGTGACGTTAGCGCTCTGTCCACTCGACAAGAATGTTCAAATTGTGTCTGTGCAGAAGTTTGTATGTTCTCATTGAGCCTGTGTAGGCATTATTCTGGGAACTGTGGTTTCTTTCCACATAATAAAAAAGTGTGTTAAGTGAACTCGTGCTTTTAAAATAACATAGCGAGTGTTTGAACATGGCTGTTTGTTTTGTGTGACTCTATTATGATCTGGCAAAACTTTGCAAATGGAACAGAGCTAAACCTTCTAAGCAACAGACCTGAATAACCACTTAGCTGCAAGGTTTATGTAGAATGCAATGCAACATTTAATGGGAACGTTGTATTTTTTTTGTAAGGTTTTCGTAATGTTTTCTGTAAATTTTTAACTGATGGAAGAATTTACAAACTTTTATCAACAAATATGCTCAACCAGCTGTTTATATTCATTTAAATATTTGGAAAGCTTTGAGAAAACATTAATGAATGTTTGTAACACAGATTTCTCTGCAGCACAAAACTCCCACAACACACACACACACACACACATGGAAAGGGAAGCTGGCGGTGTGGAGACAAAGAGAGAGACAAATTCCCACGGTGGTCAAAGCGCTCCTGTCTGTAGATATGGGAACAGTAAAATGTTTGAAGCTTTGTAATCACAACTGTTCCATGCAGAACAGGAAGTGCATTAGTTCTCACAAAAAAAAAACACCCAAACCAAACTTTAACCTGGGATAATGCATTTGCTCGTGTCTTCTTCCTTTTTTTTTTCCTTTCTTTCTTATTTTATTGTTTGATTTAAGGGACAAACTGAGGGCCCATGTCAAGGTAGAGACTGCTCGCAATGTCGTTGTCTTCCTGCCAAAGGTGCACAGGTACACATCGTATTGATTCTTTTCCTTATAATGGAGGTTCTTCTTTAGTTCGATTATAACACATTTCTTTATAAATTAACATTTTAAAATTTGCCATCATAATTAGAAAAAGTAAATGCTACCCTGGAAACATCCATCCATCCATTTTCTTTACCCGTTTGTTCCATTTTGGGTCACGGGGGTCGCTGGTGCCCATGTCCAGCAATCACTGTGCGAGGGGCGGGGTACACCCTGGACGGGTCGCAAGTCCATCACAGGGCCACATAGAGACAAATGAGACAAACAACCATTCACTCTCTCACTCACACCTAGGGACAATTTAGAGTTACCAATCAGCCTAACATGCATGTTTTTGGTCTGTGGGAGGAAACCGGAGCACCCGGAGAAAACCCACGCATGCACGGAGAGAACATGCAAACTCCACCCAGAAAGGCCCCTGGACCGGGGTTTGAACCAGGGACCTTCTCACTGAGAGGCAGCAGCTCTACCAGTTGCGCCACCGTGCTGCCCACCCTGGAAACAATCATAATCAAAAGAAAAATCACTGTAATGTCACTTTAATGAGTGATATGTGACATCTGTACTGCTGATTATCCATGCTGCTGATCTCTTGCCTTTACGTTGCTGTATTCATGTTCAGGCTGCTGTTTTAATGATTTACATTATTAAGGTTTAGCGTAAATCTTAGATTTTTAGTGTATAGTTATACTGTCTCTTGCTATTTTGGGGTGTAACTGGAACCTTGAGCAAACTCGTTCCACCTCATGTACCGCATGTGATGTGAATGACAATAAAGAAACTTGAGCTTGATAATGATGAATAATTTTATGTAATATTAAAAGAAAAACTATCATTTATTTCATAAACAAACAGTAATTTGCCTACTTGCTTGCAAATTTGGTAGGGGGCTCCAGGCAAGCTTGGTAACCGAGGTCATCGGGGACCAGTGGGACCAAGTGGACGAGAAGGGCCACCTGGAGAAAAAGGAAGAAGAGGAGCAATGGGCTTACACGGGCCAGAAGGACCAAAAGGAGATCGTGTGAGTGTGCATGTTATATTAGAGAAAGTGACCATGAAATACAAATTGCAACCAGATGACAGAGAGAATATAAGTTGTTAAGAAAGTCCATTATGAGTCATTTTGTTCACAAAGCTCCAGATCTTGAAGTATGTCTACATACACAGTATAGTCTTACATTTATATGCATTCAGTTTTAGTTTTAAAATGCGTAAAGAAAATGTATACAGGGATTTAAACCTGTCTTTTTACATTTCAGGGAGTGACTGGACTTCCTGGTTTCTCTGGTCATGATGGGTCGCCGGTAAGTTACCTGCTGTATTAGTGCAATTACCTGCAAATGTTAAAAATACAGTATACGGACAAAATTATTTGCTCACACCTGAACATGGACTGTACTTTTAATAGCACTTTTCTATCTTATTAAGATACTCAAAGCATTTTACATTACAATCTGTGCCCTCATTTACCCATCCATACAGCAATTGACTAGAACTCTACAAAGACTAAATCACATTCATACACCCATGAGACACACATCGGAGGCAATGAGGGGTTCAGTGTCTTGCCCAGAGACACTTTGGCATGTAACTGCTGGTGGAATCGAACCCCCAACTCTTGCATTAGAGGACAACTGCTCTAACCACTCATCAGCCACAACCGCCCTAACAACATCACAAACAATAGATGTATGGAATGGCTGCCCATTTTTGCAGCAACGATTGCTCCCACTCTTCTTGAAAAACTTTTCACAAGATTTTGAAGTGTTACTGTTAGGACTCTGTGCACTTTCTTTCTGAAGAGTGTTTGTGAGGTTAAGAATTTTGGCTTGCAATCTTCACTCCAATCAACTCACAGGTGACTGGTGGGGTTGAGGTCATGACTTTGTGCGGTCCACTCAAGTTCTTCCACACCGAACTCATCAAATGTGTTTTTGTTTGTGCATTGGGGACTTATTTATGTAGGAATAGAAAAGGACCCAGCACAAAGTGTTGCCATAAAAATGAAAGCATACCAAAGCATGTTCAAAATACGAAGGTGTTATGCTGAAACATCAAGATTTCCAATTATCTCTGAAAATAGGGGTTCTAAGCTATGTCCCTAAATACCTTTTCACATTTAGTATAGTTCACACTGACAATACTAAATTATTTCAAGTAGCATTCTGTGGGTGAAAGGTTTGTAAGCTGAATCATCCAGGTAAACAAATAGATAACGGTTACTTGTTCAGATGACATGATAAAACCACTTTTTGTATTCTATGGGTGGACCACATCAACATACAAACTCAGACTGGAGTTCGTTTGCTTCCCACTTACTTAATCACATCGTCTGAAAACAATGTAGATTATTAATGTATTTATGAGGAAACCTTTGCATTTACTAATCTTTAAAGAAATCTCTTGAGGTACTCGCTTCACAACATCAAGGCTGATGCAATATGTTGAGATGTGTGTTTAACATGACCTGTAGTAAACAAATATAATACATACTAATGGCTACTAAAGACTTGATTTTTTTTCCACATTTTTCTATATTAACCACATAAAGTTGTTAAAAACTTTTAAAAACAAGAAAATCATTTTGGTCTGCTATCTTTAATGGCATGAATTTCACAAAGGATATTTCTGTAATATTTTCAGTTTGGAAAGGACGGGCACAGCTGCCACTTTTAATACTCTGCAATTGTAACGCAGCATAACTGTCCTTTATTTCTCAGGGTCACCCAGGAGCAGGTGGCGAGCCTGGTTTGCCGGGGGTTGATGGCTGTAACGGGACAGTGGGTCGACCAGGACAGCCTGGTTTGCCTGGTTTGGATGGCCTTCATGGGCCACCAGTGAGTAGACAGCTGTGGCATATCAGTTCTTTAAACAAGGATAAGACCAGCAGATATTGTTAAATCCTCTTCCCAAGAAACAGACAGACACAACATTCTCAGATAAGAAACATTATTTATGACATTCCTGATGTGAGATGTTACTGTCTTCTTTTCAGGGATTACCTGGTCTTAAAGGAAGTAAAGGAGAACCTTTGAATCATGGTACTCTTTCAGGTCTTCCTGTAAGTTATTTTCTAATCACTGGAACTGTGTAGAGCTCCACATTTGTATTAATCATATCATTTTCGTGCTCCTCATTTAACTTTAAAGGGGGAGCGTGGGAAGGATGGAGACCATGGTTTACCTGTAGGTTACTTTTGTTTCTTTAATGCTAGAAGAATGATTGTCTATAAATCATTGTCAGTAAATATCAAAACAATGAATTTTGTGCATGTGACAGACTTAATATCATAATTGACTTATATGTATTCATTATTTTGCCTTTTTCAGGGAAGACCAGGTGACATTGGACCTAAAGGACACACTGGCTCTCCTGGCCCTCCTGGGCTTCAGGTACACGTGTTCCTGTGCTTCTCATGTAGCAGTGATACTTCAAGATTAACATATTCACTATTGTATACTTGCATATTGTTACAAATGTGCAATCTCTTAAGGGTTTTGATGGGCCTAAAGGTGTGAGAGGACCACCAGTAAGTAACAAGCTCCACGAGTGTTGCCAGAACATATTGAGGAAATTTATTGCATGTTTACACACATGAAATCATTACAAAAAGCACATATTTCACATAGTTCTGGTTGCTATGCAGGGTGACCCAGGAGGATCACTGCATGGCGATAAAGGTGACACTGTAAGAACACATTTTGCTTTTTGATGACTTTTCATTAAGGTTTTCTGCTTCATACGTGGCTTATTTGTACTACAAGTAAATATTTCTTCAAATCTATCCTACAGGGTGAGCAGGGCCCACCGGGTCCACCAGGACCAGAGGAAGTTGTAGTGCATCCTCCAGAGTTCCTTCCTCCTAAAGGTGTCAAGGTGAATAAAAAGCCCATATATAAGTTCAATGTCAAGTAGCTCAATTTTACTTTTTTATAGTTTGATTGGCTTTCATGACAAGCCATAAGTCATAAATAATCTGAACTGCATTGCTGTGATTCAGTATGTTGTGGTAAATTTGCAACCCAGATTATAGATTTTTTAATTCCTTTTATAATTTTATTTTTGCTCCACAGGGAGATAAAGGCCTTCCTGGACCATGTGGACTGAAAGGAGAAAGAGTGAATTTTATATTTAATTTTTTTTTTAAACAAAAATTGTGTAAGAAAAGTAGATAAATTGTCCATACACACATTTGATTAACTTTTTTTATCAGGGTAATACAGAAGAATCAAATCTTCAAGAATTTAAAGGAGAACAAGGAATTCCTGGATTTCCAGGAGCTAGAGTAGGCAATTTAATTAGCATTTTGTAGATGTATTGCACAAAAAATATATAAATATACATTCAACACTTTTTTAACTGCATTTTAGGGTTTTCATGGACTTCCTGGTAGGGATGGATCTACGGGACTTGAGGTACAGCGATTTCTTATTGAACCTTCTGGAATGCGTTTTATTGTTTTCATTTACCCTTTATTTATCCAGGAAGTCTCATTGAGCCACGAGAACTCATTTTCAAGAGAGACCTGTTTAGGAAGCAGATTGTGCTTAGACTTTATATTTTAAGTTACGGTACATTTTGTTGGATTTCAGGGTTTACCAGGAAACAAGGGACTTTCGGGCCTTAGTGGAAGAACTGGAGAAAAGGTAAACTTTGTTTGCGACTGCTTTCTGTACCTTCTAGTTGAAGAAGCTCTGCCAACATAAGAAGAAAAAAATTGGGGCAATATGCTGCCCTCTAGTGGCTATTAAGTTGTACGGTCACATGGACAACAACGATTAAAAAAAAGAATCACTTTGTAAAAGTAAAGCGTGAGCATAATTCCTGCTATTTTTCTACTTTACTTTTTCTTCTATTTCCATTCTTGTTTTTGCACGTAACAGGGTTATTTGGGTGATCCAGGTCCACCTGGCCCTTTGCTGTTTCATAATGGAAGTTATGTGAGAGGTAAAACTATAACTTTGGTGTCTGACACTCCTCATCTTGAAGCTCTTTGTGACAAGGATGTTTGAAATATACTTTTTTTTTTAATTGGAAAATTTACAATTCCTGTCTTTCTGTTTTGACCAGTGTGGTGGCAAAACAATAATAAAAAATATATATATTATATACTTTAAGCATACACAGATATGTGCTATACCAGACAAATAAGTTCATAAGTTAATTAGTAAATTCAGACTCAAAGTTTTAAGGTTCTTTTTTAGCAAGTCTTAAAATAATCAGTAGATTAGAATAAAAAAGTCACTTAAGGTTCTATGTCACACTGTGTGTCAGGTCCAAAAGGAGACCGTGGACATACAGGTACTCCTGGACTTCCGGGGGAGCCTGGATCCATGGGCGTGCCTGGGCCTCCAGGTCCACCAGGGTCCACAGGTCAGAATTAAGGCTCTATACATAAATATCAAAATCCATCTGATTATCCCAAATTGGTGTATTGTTTGAATATAAATACAGATCATATGACCCACAATTCATTGACTCACTCACTCTAGAATCAGTGATCTGTTTTTATATATAGACATTTCGTAGTTGATTATCAAAAGTTTATCTTTTTTTTTTTTGACCAGAGGCACAAGGCCTTCCTGGTTCCCAAGGTTTCCCTGGAGAAAAGGGCAATAAGGGAGAACCAGGGAGCTATCACGAGAGCCTATTTCCAGGACGTAAAGGGGCAAAAGGAGTTCCAGGAGCTAAAGGAGTCATAGGCCTCCCTGGTCCTCCAGGTATATTCACTCCATGCACATTCTTTATTCCTATAACCTCAGAAAAAAATGTTACTATTACTTTTGTACTAAATTATTTTAAACAATGACGTTTTCCTGGTTTGTGTTGTGTTGGCATGTTGCGACACATGTGTTTGAATGGATCAGGATGTGGAGGTAATTATTTGATCACAACCTAAATACTGAATTTGTCATTCAGATTACTTGTGTCCATTTTAGTTAGGGTTGTTAACATTTCTGGATGATTATGTGCACAGACTATTACTGTGAACCTGGGTCTCCTGGTGAACCTGGTGATCATGGACCTAAAGGACTGCCAGGAAAAAGAGGGCTCAGCGGAATTAAAGGTCATTTGTTCATATGCATTGAATGTGAATTAACCACACAAGCAAAAAATAAAAGTTATCTTTCCATTTTGCTGATAGGCCATGCTGCAATAAGTTAGGAACAACAGCATTACTCAAAGACAATTTTGTTAAAGTCAACATCTTTTATGCATTTGTGTTTATGTACAAATGGAAACCTTGAAAGCAATTGCAGTTTTACTTAGTTAAGTGTTGAATAATTCAGAAATTCAGAAAATATGCTGATTCTGTGTGAGAATCATCCAGTAAAATCAAACCTACCGAACAGGGAGAAAGTTAAATAAACTTAAAAGCTTAGCATTTGTCGAAGGAGTACATATTGGTCATTATCTTTCTCGTCAGTTATAATCTAAGCTCATTTTATGTTGAGAAATGACACATTTGTAGCAATTTTGGGGCAAAGTTTGAAAATATAGTAAAAGTGGTATCAAAATATATAAAATAGTAAAATTACAGAATGTGCAATTTCAAACAACAATGCGATCCATCCATCCATCTTCTGCTTGTTCTGAAGTCGGGTCATGGGGGCAGCAGCTTGAGCAGGGAAACTGAGACATCGATTTCCACAGCCATGTCTTCCAGCTCTTCTGGGTGGACTCCAAGACCTTCTCAGGCCAAATGAGAGACATAATCTCTCCAGCGTGGCCTGGATCTTCTCCGGCTTCTCCTCCCAGTAGGACATGCATAAAGCACCTAGGGAGGCATCCAGGGAGCATCTTTACCGGATGTCCGAACCACCTCAACTGGCTCCTCTCAATGTGTAGGAGTCTGACTGAGTTATAGACATTCAGGAATTTGCTAATGTTGATTAGCTATGGCAACAAATTGTAACTGAGTTGACCACAACAATGAATCGGTTGTACATGCTATACGTTCTAGGAGTTTATATTTGTTCATTGTTTAATGAGATAGTTAGTGAACTGACAAACAGTGTTGATTCCAACAGTTCATGCTAAAATTTTAAGCAATGTGCAGCACTCAAAGCATGTGCTGGGAGTGACCCTCAGTCAGGGGCGGTCCTACGCTGTTTGCTTCCCTGGGCAAAAAACTCCTCTGGTGCACCCTTGTGAGCCAAAAAGGAAGCAGCGTGCAAAAAGACAATGGATTGATGGATGGAATAATTTATTGTGGCTCTGACTGGTTAGATAATCCAAAAATGCAGGCAATAGGCAAAAGAAAATAACATACTGTGTTATAACATACTATATACTGTATATAACAAAGTATGTATATTTTCCAAAAATCGATCCAATACCAGAATATTCAAATGTGGTTCAACAGAAATAATAATAAAAAATAAATAAAGAAAATATACCTACATACATAGTGTGCCTATATGGTACAAGTAGAAAAATATTAAACATCAACCCAATTCCACATTTGGATGACTGACTGATTAGCAATTAAAGACAACTGAATTCAAAATTGCTACAAAAGACAACTGATTTTAGTAAATGCACAAAATGCTTTAAGCAGGTGTTAATTTTTATGATGAGCTATTAGTCGATTCTATTTCCAAAGGTTGTCCATCGGAATGTGAATGTATTGCTGGTAGAGGGAGTGAAGGGCTCCCTGGTCCACCTGGTTATCCTGGCCTCCCAGGTTTACCGGGAGGTCCAGGACCCAAAGGAGATCCAGGACTCCAAGGAAATGAAGGGTCCAGAGGCCCACAAGTAAGGACAGCATTATTCAACTGAATTTGACTTTCTGAACCATAATTTAAAAAGTTAATTGTTGACTATGTCCATAGAAATAAAATATATTTTATTTGTTTTATTACAGGGCTATCAAGGAATTACAGGTTCAAAAGGAAGAAAGGGTCAGAAAGGTGAATCTTTGGTGGCTGGTAGTGAAGGTGAGTGTGTTAAAGTTTGCATTTACTTTTGTGTTTTGTTTGTTTTCATAATTTACACTTTAAATAGACAAATGCTGCCTATTATATTTTTTAGCATGATGAATCCACGAGTCACAAAGAGTACTTTGCTTTGTGTAATTTATCAGAATTTATGGCTGAGTATGTCCAGTTTATTTGTGTTTTTTACAGGTGCAAAGGGTGACAAAGGAGAACTTGGGTATTCTGGTCCCCATGGTAGAAGAGGTAGACCCGGACAGGATGGCATTCCTGGCACAGAAGGAGAACCTGGACCACCGGTGGGTTTATATAAATGTAAAATGTTTATTTTTTATGTCTAAAGTGTGGAATATGATGAGTTTTATGAATATTTTAACAAACCTTAATTAAACCACATAGTATATTAAAAACATTTTTGGATTCCACTCTGCTACATCTTTATTTCTGCATCCATTTGAAACATTATTGCAGGGTCATTGGTATACAGGGTTACCTGGTCCCAAAGGTTACCCAGGTCCACCTGGACTCAAGGGATTTCATGGACCTGTAGGTCTCCCTGGCTTTGGTTATCCAGGCCCAGCGGGCATACCTGGCCCTCAGGGAAATCAGGGTTTACCCGGGCCACCAGGAATTCAAGGACGACCAGGACCTCCAGGTTAGAACATATTTCATGAAAACATTGTTCAAACAGTCATTCATTAATTACGCAGGGTGGTATGCTCTCTAAAAGAAAGTTGTTTTTTTTTTACCGTTAGGAGAAACAGATAAGTGTTGTCAGGAAGACCAGATTGGCCCGCCAGGTCCAAAGGGTGCACCAGGTGAACCAGGTAAGTACTTCTTGCTAGAAATTTGCCAGAAATGGCATGTGTATTAAATGGGGGTTGTTTTAAAGGTTCCTTTCATCAGTACATTAAATTTATAAATGTACATATTGCTAATGGATATGGTTTATCTACATTGACAAGTTGTAGGTATTTGTTGAAATTTAAATGTCTAAATATCCTGATACATGCTCAATAATCCAGGTAGAAACATCCAAAAAAGTTCAATCTGGTCCTCTGGACATTCAAAAAACAAGAAAACAAAAAAACAAAAAACAAAGCAAAAAAAATGTAGAAACGTTTCGTCTCTCATCCAAGAGACTTCCTCAGTCTGAGGTGCTGTATTCAGCTCAGTCTCTTAAATAGCACCTTCTCAGAGTGGATCAACCAGTTTGCTGCTGACAACCAAAACCAGCTGCTCACATGGTCAAGAAGGACCATCAGCCTAACAATGGATCATTAGCACACTGATGGCTTTTTACTATTCACAGGGGGTTGAGTGATACTAGCAATCACAGCATTGTAAGAGGGGGGCAGTTGAACCCGGAGGCCTCCACCCCTGTTTAATGATGGACAACTTATTTTCCTTTACTCCTCTCTCAAACCATCGTTCCTCTCTGTCCAGGATGTGAACATCTTCATCCCTGAAAGAGTGACCGCTGGCCTGGAGATGAGTGTAGACTGCAGAATTCTGGCCTGATGATGTTGATCTTCTGTGCTGGTCCATCCTTTTGGCCAGTGGCTGTTTAGTTTCCCCAATGTAAGACTGATCACAGCCCTCCTGACACTGAACAGCATACACAATATTACTCTGTTTGTGCCGGGGGACTGGATCATTGGGATGAACCAGTCTTTGCCGTAATGTATTTTGGGGTTTAAAAGCCACTGGGACGTTATGTTTAGAAAATTTGAGAGAGGTTTGAGAGAGGAGTAAAAGAGGCCATCTTTGTGAAAAGAAATTGTCCATCATTTTCATCTTTAAATCACTTCTTGGTCTGTTGCCTTCATACATCTCCTCCTACATGTCTCTGCGTGAGTGCAGCTACGGAGTGCGCTCTCAGGACACTATTACCTGCAGTGTTCCCTCAATGAGGACTGAACTAGGCAAAAGGGCCTTCTCCTATTCCGCTCCTGTTTCCTGGAATATCTTACAAAAAGATTTGAAGCTCTCGACCTTGACCTCTCTAAGTGTCTTTAAGAATCTGTTGGACACCTGGCAGGGTCCAATGCTGACATGTTCCTGTTTTTAGTTTTCTACATTTGTCTTGGAATCTAGCTGTTTTTTGTTTTGTTACCTTTTCCTTTTAGCCATCCTATTTGTAAAAAAAAACAAAACAAAAAAAACAAAACTGTAGTATGCTTTTTTTGTAGCTGTTCATTGTTGTTGCTTTTGTCCATTGTTGTCATCTTTCTTTGTTGAAATCAGGTCTCTCTTGTAAATGAGTCCTCGAGGCTCAATGGGATTTACCTGTATAAATAAAGGTTGATTGCTTGATTAAACAGGGGTGGAGGCCTCCAGGTTCAACTGTCCCACTCTTACAATGCTGTGATTGCTAGTATCACTCAACCCCCTGTGAATGGTAAAAAGCCATCAGTGTGCTAATGATCCATTGTTAGGCTGATGGTCCTTCTTGACCATGTGAGCAGCTGGTTTTGGTTGTCAGCAGCAAACTGGTCGATCCACTCTGAGAAGGTGCTATTTAAGAGACTGAGCTGAAAACAGCACCTCAGACTGAGGAAGTCTCTTGGATGAGAGACGAAACGTTTCTACATTTTTTTTTGCTTTGTTTTTTGTTTTTTTGTTTTCTTGTTTTTTGAATGTCCAGAGGACCAGATTGAACTTTTTTGGATTAAATGTCTAAAATTCCATTTGTGCTTTGCCTCTTTTAATAGGGAATCCAGGCCAACCTGGAAGAGATGGTTTTCCAGGAACACCAGGACAGCCTGGACCTAAAGGAATGAAAGGAGACAATAGTGAAACTGGAGGGATTGGACCACAAGGTTGTTGTTGTTATTATTATTATTATTATTGTTGTTGTTGTTGTTATTGTAATTATTTTACTTTTTGTGTACTCTATTTGTAAAAGGACCTCAGGGTTTAAATGGGGATCCTGGTGACCCTGGTCCGATTGGAATTACCCTTGATGGCCCTCAAGGCTTACCTGGCTTACCTGGGCCTCGAGGAAGGAAGGGTGCTCATGGAGAAAACCTCTATCCTAGAACAGGCGATCCTGGTGCTCTGGGACCTCGTGGAGCTGTAGGGTCTCATGGAATCCCTGGAACTACTGGAAGGCCAGGATTAGAAGGTACTTTATTTGCATTTATGACAATAAAAACAAACCTCCAGCATTATGAGGCTTTTTGTAATAAAAAAAAATAAAAAATCAATCAGTGATAATAAATAAACCACTATGAACCTTTTTGTATAAAGAGTTTGGTTGACCTTGACATTTTAGGCATACAAGGCCAACCAGGACAATTCGGCCGTAAAGGAGAACCTGGGGACAATGGTGACCCTGGAGCAACAGGTCCCCAAGGCCCACCTTGCACTGTATGTGATCTGATAAGCCCACAGGGCCCTCCAGGACCTCCTGGTCGCCCTGGAATAAGGGGAGTACCAGGTGATCACAGAACAGTCTCATGAAAAACATTATAGAAAAATAATTTACAGAAATAGATCATGGCTTACTGTGTTGCTTAAACGTTGAAATGCTTCATAGGCTACCCTGGTCAGAAAGGTGTGAGGGGAGATGTCGGACCCCCTGGCCATGGTCAGAAAGGTTTAAAAGGGTTATCTGGTAATCCTGGAGCTCCAGGCCCAGATGGATCAAAAGGCACTTATGGTCCTCCTGGAGATCCTGGTGATGATGGTTTGCCAGGACAGAAAGGCAAGTCTGCATAACATTTAACAAACGTTTTTATTTTTGTTTCAAAGTAAGTTCAGCTGATGTTATTAATGCATATATTTGCATAATTTGAAATTCAACTTGTTTTCACTGAAGAGAAAATATAACTTAACTTTTGTCAATTATTTAGGGGAGGTGGGCAACCCTGGCAGACCTGGGGCTGGGGGTGTACCGGGACTTCCTGGATCACCAGGGCCAAGAGGTAAACAGGGAGAACAAGGTTTTAGTGGTCGCCCTGGTATTCCAGGGGATTCAGGACTGCCTGGAAAGAAAGGTAAATCTGTTAATTGAATGATTATATGTACACCATGTGCCCAGAACTAAGTGTTCTTTAACAACAGAAAATACAAGCTTGTTAAAACAAACAAACAAAGAAATATATAAATCTTGAGCTCTGTGACTGTACTCAGGATGAAGATAAACAAACAAACACATATATGTATGGTTAGCACAGCCCTTATATACGTAACTTAGACAAGGAATTATTTCAGTGCAAACAATTGCTGTATACAATTTATCTTTTAACAAATTCAATTTTGGTGCAATCATTTTAATAAAACACATTTCTAGTTATTGAAAAGTCATATTTTTTATTGTATTTTACACATTTTCCCCTCAAAATTACAAATAATGTATGCCATATTAAAACAAAATAAATAAAAAATACAGTTGAAGAGTTTTTGTTGGTATGGTCAATCTTAGGTGAGCAATCTTTCACAGCTTCAACTGTATGAAATTAAGTGAAAGTGCTTCTTTTGACCCATGCTCCATCTTATTTTGATGTGTTATTTTTGTTAAATGTTTCTAACAAAAGATAACCACATGGCTAAACCATCTAAGAACTGAAATATCACTCTTTATATAGGAAGATTGTCTATACTTGGTAGTCATCAAGTTTTTGGAATTGCAACCCCTAAATTATTGAACTAACTCCTTCATGTAAAGCAGATTCTCCTTCCAGTTTTAAGTATCATCTTAAAACACATTTGTACTTACAAGAAACATTATTTTTGTCATCAACGTTTTGTTTAACTACTTTTCTTTGTTTTGTTTTTTTTGCCATTTTTTTCTTGTACAGCACTATGAACACAAGTGGTTGTAATAAAATAAGCTTTCAAAATAAATTGCATTTGAATGCAACAAGATAGTATTTATAGACATTAATTCTGAAACAAAAAGAGTAGTAGACTACTCTATATTGTCTAACTATTTAATTAGAAGGATGTCTGTGTAGAGCAACATTTATCACTTTTGTTTTGGTTATTTTTCATGATCTGTCTAAAGTGCTTATAAAATGTTCAGTTATTTATATCAGTTTTGTGATACACTCAGGTGTGCATGGACCCCCAGGAGACCCAGGAGCAATATTTCTTAGTATAATAAAAGGGCAGAGTGGACCTCCAGGAAACAGAGGTCCAAATGGCCAGGCAGGACTTCCAGGCAATAAAGCTTTATCCCAAATTATCATTATTAATATTATTGTTTATTTTACACTGGATATTTTTAGTAACAATGGTACACTGTCTCTTCTATAATTTGTTGCATCTTATTTAGGTCCAAAGGGTCAAAGAGGGACACCAGGTGATTCAGGGCCTGATGGAAGGCCTGGCATTCCAGGATTTAAGGGTCCTGCTGGTTTTCCGGGCAGGCAAGGAGTATCTGGACCACCTGGATTTCCTGGAATTAAGGGCTTCACAGGTCCAAGAGGATATCCTGGACTTCCTGGAGATAGGGTATTCAGTGAATAATTTAACAATCTATCTATCTATCTATCTATCTATCTATCTATCTATCTATCTATCTATCTATCTATCTATCTATCTATCTATCTATCTATCTATCTATCTGTCTGTCTGTCTGTCTGTCTGTCTGTCTGTCTGTCTGTCTGTCTGTCTGTCTGTCTGTCGGTCTGTCTGTCTGTCTGTCTGTCTGTCTATCTATCTATCTATCTGTCTGTCAGTCGGTCTGTCTGTCTGTCTCTGTCTGTCGCTGTCTGTCTGTCTGTCTGTCTATCTGTCTATATGTTCGTTTGTCCATTCGTCCATCTGTCCATCCAGTGGTTGATAGATAGATCTTGGATATGATCTGAGTTATATATTCCTGTGTCTTACAGGGGGATTCAGGGCCTCCAGGACACAGTGGTTTCCCGGGACTTCCAGGATTACCTGGTGCCAAAGGTGAGTCACCAGTCATGTTTTTTTTAGTGTTTTTGACTATATGCCCAATTTTATTTTGTGAAGATGATGTAAATACACTGCTTTGGGTAAACTGAATTGTCTTTTTGTATCACAGCCAAACAGATATGTATATACCAGTATATCTATAAGTCTTTATTTTTTGCTAATTAGACATGTTCTTTTCAGCTGGATTGACCTTGCTTAAACTCATCTTGTTTCAGGTGATCAAGGACAGTTCTATGGGAGGTCTGGTCAACCAGGACCAAAGGGATTTCCAGGCGAATCTGGGCCAAGTGGTAAAAACATGTGGCTATAAATAAAATGGGCTGACATTTTATCAAAAATAATTTCCTAATATTGACAAGGACATTACATTGACAATTTACTGACTTTGTAATAACAAAAAGTAATTTCCTCTAGCACTTAGAGGAAGCCCAGGAGATCAAGGTGAGCCAGGACCAAGAGGAAGACCAGGGGAACCTGGACACCCAGGCAGTCTAGGAGAAATGGGAAGACAAGGAAGTCCAGGTGATATGAACACTTAGCAATAATATTTTTTATTCACTGCACCTATGGTTAGCAAAAACCCTAAATAAAAAAATTCTAAGTGTACAAAATTACACTTGTCCTGTTTATCAGCCCTATAACAGATGGTATATCTAATGATGAAGTTACAATATTTACAGTAGATGAACGAATGATGACGATGGTGACGAATGACGAACGAATGATGTGCAAAAATCACGGTTCATGGTCAGACTTAGGAATAATAGTGGAACTTGCATCATTTCTTGATATGCCATACAACTATATATTTATACATTCAAAATAAAATATTACAATTTTAACTCATGCTAACACAGTGGAGCAGCTGTGGCTGAGTGGTTAGAGCAGTCGTCCTCCAATGCAAGAGATGGGGGTTCGATTCCACTAGCATTCACATGCCAAAGTGTCCCTGGGCAAGACACTGAACCCCCTCATTGCCTCTGATGTGTGTCCCATTGGTGTATGAATGTGATCTAAAGCACTGATTATTCTTTGTATAGATCTAGTAGAGTGCTGTATGAATGGGTAAATGAGGACACATACTGTGTTTTAAAGCGCTTTGAGTGTATTTATAAGATAGAAAGGCACTATATAAGTGCAGTCCATTTACAGTAAGTTACAAGTGCAAACAGGTTTCTTAAATATCAGAATTCCACTTCAGTATTTTGATTTTTTTCCAATGTATTCCTTACAAATGAGGAAAAGGCAAAAAAAAAAAAAGAATTTGTTAATTTTTCCTAGGTTTTCCTGGACCTCATGGTCCTCCAGGCCGTCCAGGCTTTCCAGGTCCTCCTGGTGACCAAGGAGGCATGGGCCCACCAGGATCCCCTGGTCCATATGGGCTTCCAGGTACAAATACTATCATATTTTCTCTTTGTCACAAACGGATACTCATGGCATACAGCAAGTCGTGAAAAACCAATTTGTACGTCCATTAATTTATTCCTCAGTGATGAAATGGTTTTTTTTAGAGTTATAATCACACAGCAAAAATACTTTTTGATGTTATGTTTCATGTTAGGGCAACCTGGTCCACCAGGTCTTGATGGACTGGATGGACTAAGAGGTCCAAAAGGAATGATGGGATCAAGTGGTAAGAGCTGTTTTTTGTTTGTTTGTTTGTTTTTGCTAAAATAAGAAAAAAAAAACATGATAGTTGCTGACTCCAGAATTATTCCTTCAATAGGAAGGCTATTGCATTGCCTGAAGTGTCCACATGAATTACTCATGTTATATCAATTTATAAAGTGTAAGATGCACATGTTACTATGAGTCATTGTTGACCTGTAACACTGTGCTTTATGTACACTCATATGAAAACCAAGGTATAGGTATTCCTGGCCCTCCTGGACAAGATGGCCTTCCTGGAGTCAAAGGCATCAGGGGGCCCCCAGGATCTCCAGGACTGAGTTATCCAGGGTCTAAAGGCCAACGGGGGGCACCTGGAAACACAGGTAACACATTATCATTACCATCATCATAAACATCATTATCCATTATCCCACCATCAGTTCTGTATTTAAAATACTACTGAATATACCTAAAGTATTTTTTTTTTTTTGCGCAAAATGTTTACTTCTTGTTAAAAAACAAGTGCGGTAGCTTCTTGACAGGTGAAACTTTCAGTTTAGTCTGGCTGTCTTGATTTCAAAATAACTCCACTTTCAGATAATTTGTGAAATATTATTAAACATTTAATACTATCTTATATAGTCTCCCAGAATGCATTGTGCTATTACTCTGTTGCCTTTATTGCTGTTGTTGAGTATGAGTTTTGTATTTGTTCCAGGTCTTCCAGGCCCTCCAGGTGAGCCTGGTTACCCTGGCACAACATGTCAAACACCAGTGCCAGGAACGCAGGGTGACAGAGGATATGAGGGACCCCCAGGACCCCCAGGTGTGAATAATTCTGTTTTTACTGTCTGATCATTGGTGACTTTAATTTTTATGTTGCATACACAAAAATGAACATATTACAATGCATTTCGTGTATGTTAGTCATTTTGTGTTTATTTAGATGTGTTATTTGGAAATATTTTTCAGGACCACCTGGATTGCCTGGATTGCCAGGCAATAGTATTTTTTTCAAGGGAGACCCAGGACCAGTTGGCCCTCCCGGATTACCAGGTTGTAAAGGGAATAAGGGCCTTCCAGGACCTCCTGGACTTCAGAACCACTTTGGCCTTTCAGGACCAAAAGGTATAATAATGTCTGACGTCATCAGTTGTTTTCATGTGCAACCATTTACTTGAACACAATGTTAACACAATTGTACAGGGGTGCAAGGGTCAGCTGGTCCAAGAGGCCCTATGGGACAGAAAGGTCAGAGAGGTGCCCCTGGGCCTCAGGGTCGCAAGGGAGAACTTGGCATTGTTGGAGATACAGGTAGGAGGCAATGTAACAAGAATCAAAATGCAAACTGATATTGTTCAAAGTAATGCATGAGAAACAAATAATCAAAAAGACCACCTAGCATAAATTATGTAAAGATAATTTTAGACAGATAAAAATATAGTGTTTTCCAGGTGTTAGAGGTGCCCCTGGTGACCTAATCACTGAAGGTTTAGGATCGGCTCCTCCTGGATCTCCAGGACCACGTGGTGCCCCCGGACCAGTTGGATTTGCAGGTCGTGTGGGTCCACCTGGGCCTCAAGGATGGGAAGGTACCAATATTTATATATTTTGTCATTCTGCATGATTCTGGTCTGTTTTATTTAAAAAAAATGTATTGGGTGACTTTTATTTCTCCATCTATAGCATTTGTTGTATTGTGTATGCTTTATATATCACTTTTCAGGAGAAAGGGGCCCTAAAGGGTATGCGGGCTTTCCTGGTAGACCAGGTCCTCCTGGTCTTGATGGTTCAGTTGGGGACCCAGGAGATATTGGTGTGTCAGGATTTTCAGGGCCTCAAGGTAAATAATCAAGCACAGGTTCTTTCTAATCTGCTAATAGTATGACCAAAATAAACTCCAGGGCAGAGGCAATTGCCTAATACAAATGCATGATCCATTATTGATATCCTGCTTTGGATGTGTCAACTCTTCATTTAATTCTTTACCTGACCAGGTACCCCTGGTTCTCCTGGTGATCCAGGTGATCCAGGCTACAGAGGGCCATTAAAGTCATCCTACCTTTTGGTTGTCCACAGCCAGTCAATTCATGTGCCACACTGCCCTGTAGGCAGCACCCAGCTTTGGGTGGGATACAGTCTTGTTTACTTAGAAGGACAAGAAAAGGCTCATACACAAGATCTGGGTACCTATTTGTACATCTCAAAATCTTTTAATTGGTTCTTGTGGCTTGATAAACTCTCTCCTTACTGGTTCCTTTTAAATGCAGTATCCTTTTATTTCTCCTCCTTGTAGGTCAACCTGGTTCTTGTCTCTCAGTTTTTTCCACCATGCCTTTTTCCTACTGTGACAAAGCTGCCTGCTACTACTCTAGTCGCAATGACAAATCCTACTGGCTCTCGACGACTGCTCCTATACCCATGATGCCACTCTTTGGGCCAGAAATAAACACCCACATAAGCCGGTGCGTAGTGTGTGAGATGGTTTCACCAGTGGTGTCCTTTCACAGTCAGGATCACGCTGTCCCTCCATGCCCACTTGGCTGGAGGAGTTTGTGGACAGGCTACTCCTTCCTCCTGGTGAGTTAAATTAAAAATTTGATTGCATTTATAGAAATGTGTATTATCTAAACTTAAAATAACACCTGCTGCCTTTCTTTCCTCAGCACACGGGGGCAGGAGATGAAGGTGGAGGACAGTCACTGACTTCCTCAGGAAGCTGCCTTAAAGATTTCCGAACTCATCCCTTTATTGAGTGCCAAGGTGCGAGGGGCTCCTGTCACTACTTTGCTAACCTCTATAGTTTTTGGTTGACTACTGTGAATAAGACAGAGCAGTTTATCAATTCAAAGTCTGGCATCATCAAAGCAGCCAATGAGCAGCGTCACAAGGCCAGCCGCTGTAATGTTTGCTTTAGAGAAAGGTAACATGCCGCCACAAATGACCGGCTTTACCTTTACTTATTTGAAGTACATTTGAAGACGGTCCACATGATGTAAATTCAATGGTAAAGATGATGCTATTTAAATACGCTTAGCAAAAACAATTGACTGCATACTTGCTTTATATCTGCAAAATGTTTAGTGTTATTCTTGTGGGATTTCTGTCTGCTCTGTGCTTTCTGCAACTCCCTGTGTTTTTCTCCTCCTCATGCTTCTGCTGCTGTGCACTCCTGTTCTGAGTCCTAATCACCCCAGGTGTTTCCCACTCAGCCTCATTAGTAACTGTTTTTAGTCTGTGTCTTTTGTCATTCCTCTGGTATTCGGGCATTATCCTTCCGTGGTGTCATGGTCTGTTTCTGCTCTACGTGTCCTCTCCTTGTAAAGTAAGTTGTGCTGCCCTGTCAGCATTTTTGTTTTGTTATTGTTAAAATAAACTTTAATTATCATTTTTACTCCTGAGTCCTCATGCCTTCCTGTACATGGGTTCAACTCATTACAAGCAGATCATGTCAATTATGTAATACAAATAGAAGGGGGAGGGATGTGTGTGTATGGTAGTTGTCTGATAAATCACTATGTACGCTTTAGCAATATTTTATGAGGGTGATTTTACTTTCAGAACAATAATGGCTGAGAAAAAAATGATTGGAAGGGTTTTCTTTTTTTATCCAAGCTTTGATTATAGTCAGTTAAAATGTCAAATAGCATAAAAAAACATTACTTTTTAAATATTCAGGAACGCTTCGAGACTTAACCAATTTGCAAAAAGTAAATCAGAAGTTAGGAGAAAATGAATGAGTTTAACAGGAGCAAATATTTGTCCCGTAGTAAGTTTTGAGTTCATATTTATTAATTTCTCTCAACAGAACCCAAGTGACAATCAGATTACAGTACTTTTTTCCTCAAATATGTTTTTTTCCCTGTTTTTTTATAACGCAAAATGAGAACACTCAGTGCAATACGACAGAGGACTGACAGTGTGGTGCTCTCTCTACCTTTTCACAGTGCACGTTTATACACACAGAAAGATTGTACATCATCATTGTTACATTTCCCACTCCCTCCCCACTATGATAGGGCAAAGTGAATGTCTTAAAACAATCATTTCAATTTGCGACTTGCATTCGGTGTAGCTTGGCACACGCTCATAGACATACACACACACACACTCGGATATCTCTCTCACACACACAAACAGTTGCAACACAAAGGGAACTTTGTATCACTGTTCCTCACCAAAGAAGGGCTACTGCACTTGTACAAATTCACACTATTTTGGCAATGTTTACATTGCATTTTAGTGCGCAAAGGAGAACCAATTGAGATGATGTAATGAAAAGGGCTGAGGTAGAGGGTGAGGCCAAGGGGACAAAGGATACATTAGTAACCAGCCTGAATCTGAACGTAAATGGTGTGTAGTGCAGGTGTTTCAGGATTTGTAGGCCCTTGTTCAACTCCTTTTACCTTTTGAACTGGATAGTGCTGTTGCCACATAATAGGTCCTTTAAAAAAAGATCTCTAAAATGGTTGCCAGCCAATTTTGAATTGGAACTTTGTCAGAGACAACCAAGAGAACATGGCTGCATGTCATACAGCCAGTCTCCTGAGGCTTTATCTTCTATAGCCAGTAAATTAAAACATACATGGCACAACTCATGTTAACATTTTCAAAAAATATATATAAGCATACCATTGAAAGATACTTTTTAAGCAAGTGCATATGGCTATTATATTCTGCAGTAAAATTAAGAAATCTAAAAGCTTAGGTGTTGATTGTACAGGCTGACTGTTGGCATCAAGTGTTTGAACTGTCATGACGCATGCAGTGTGCATGGCAATGTAAAGGCGCTGACACTCACCAGCTACTGCCAATTTCATAGTTTAAATAACCAACCAACCAACCAACACATATCTCACTTTTGCAGGCTTTGGCTGGTTGTTAAAAGTAAACTATTAATAATGTATGTTCTAATTTACTACCTACCAAATCCACCCTTATAATTTATCTTGGACTACGTATACAGTAGCAGACAAGTTTGACACTTTATCTTCTACAACATGCCATCTGACAGATGTTTCTCCTTCTTTTTTTTACTATAAAAGATTCAACTGCTTGAAAAGGCTTCAAGTTAGTGACCACAAAACTTTTCACCAAAATGTACAAACTGAAACACAAACGTCTTGTTTCCGTTCTAGGACCTGTTGTTGTACATTCTAGAACATTTTCCACCAGATTTGAGAGCACTGGCATCTAAAGCACGCTGACGTTCACTCCTGGACTTACAATACAACTGTGAAAATGTAAAGTATATAATAAAAGAACTAAGCAGTGCATTCGTTTTAGTGCTTTTGGGCACACACACACAAAAGAGTTGGGCATAAGAAAATTATGCTACTACATAACAAGTAATAATAGAATATACTTTTGAATGAAAAATAACCTAAACAAAAAATAACATGAAAACAAACATTAGATTGCATCTACAGTAAATCTAGTATACATGATTTAAGCTGTGTTTTGTTCCCATCATCTTATTTAGAAAATATCTATTCGTAATCGAATATCCACTTTACTCATTATAATACAAGAGTCCAGTCACATTAAATAGAAAAATATCAAATATCATCAGAGATGATAAGAAAACATGACAACCTGAACAAGCAGAAATATTGCTGTGGTGACCACCATATTTTTTTTCATTTTTTTTATTTTTTGACATCAGCGAGTACCGTCCCTTTGCTGCTTTTTTGGGCTTGTCCTGAATCCTTTTTGAGGCAGGGGAGAAATCAGTACACCAAGAAGCAGGGAGAGGGAGTGGAATATCTGAGGGTTATGTGGCATGGAGGTTTAATTATTATTTTTTTGGAATGTCAGATTGCTGTGTCCCAGAATACAGTTTTCTGTGTCGGGTACGGTGGAGGGCGGATCTTCTTGGTCCCGTTGCTCTTTCCGCAGCTCGAGAGGAGAGAGGCACTCTCCTGCTTGCACTGACTTTGCTCCTGGTGCCTGTCCTCTATACGGTCTGAATCGGGGGGCCTCTCCAGGTATCTCTGCAGGTGTGGATGTTGTCGGGAGCGTATTTCCCTGCACAGGGTGCGTTTCCTCTCTATCTGATCAAGCATAGTGGTGTCTCCACATATCCATGGCATCTGGAACATCTGAAGGAAAGAGCAAATATACAACATTTATTAAAAGCAAACTGATTTTAAAAATATGTATAATTCTCAAGACCTAAGAAATCTGAAAAGGCTTTAGTGATGTTTTATAAGGAACACATTCTTGACAGTATGAATTACACACAAAAACTATGAATAGGTTTTATGTACTGAGAGAAAGCATCCAGGACTTGATGTGGGCAGTTATTTCTGATTTGATTAATGTTAAACGAGTCACCGAATGTCATTAGAATACCTATCTGTAAATCACGCATTTACAAACACCATGCAAAAATGTTTGGGGGTTAATCCAACACAATATTATAAATAATCAAGGTTGTTCTCTCTGTATAGCTACATTTCACTGGAACAGTTCTTGTTACATGGACAAAGAACTGCCACAAAAGTATTTAATGACAATACATTTGTTGAGATGACATAATTTGACTTCATTGCAGGATCAGATTTAACAAACCTCTCTAACAGTAATTGTTAATCTCAATAAACCAATTTTAGGGCTTTGGATAAAAAGCTACAAGTCAATCAAGTGGCAAAACATCAACTACAATTATTTTTCTGGCAAACATGCACTGGTTTGTCATGACAAGTATGTGAACACCTTCTGATAGAGCAGAATTAGATTAAACCTTTTAAGATCTATTTGTTTTTTTTATGAAGTGGAGAATTTCTGTCCAAGAAGATAAACTAAAAACTACTTATAGCAGGGCAAACAAGCAAATATTGAGCTAGCTCAAATTATAGTAACAGGGATATATTTCGAACAAACACAATGGCTTTTTGCACAATGTCATTTTTTTTATTATTATTTTTTCTAGGTGAATGAGTGGAGTTTGCACACCATTTAAAATTATATTCAATCCAACACATGAAATGAACACCCTTAACCAATCCTGTTACCACACCA